ATATTAAATTTATTATCTGCAGGATAATTAGATGTGTCGAAATATCTACTATTTTCCTTTATGAAATTGTAGAAGTTTTCTGTTTCTATCTTCAATATCAATGAATCTGTGCCCGTGTACAGTAACTGTGATTTATCGACATAATTTTTCTTAATACATCCATATAAAAAATTATATATAACAACTTTCGACACATCTAATATACTGTAACCTGAATAAAGCGGTTTATCGTAATGTACCCTCACTCTACCCATATGGATAGCGACAAAATTTTCGTGGAATACCTTACAGGTTTTTGAATTTGGGAGTGCTATCAACACATTGGCACCCTTTTTCGATTTTATACTCTCCCAATGGGTAACAAGTTTGATATCACTCCTTTTATCTACATTTTCCATCGTTTTACCATAAACTGAGTTCACCATATTCTTGTATAAACACTTGTCGGCTTTGTTTTCACTTTTTGTTACGCATCTCTGTATTGAGGTCAACGTATTTTTTCAACCATGGTGATTGAAGAAACTTCAAGGCCCTATGGATTTTAACCAATACCAAACCATTTTCAATAGCCTGTTTCAGATTTCTATAATGAACGATATATTTAATTTTGTTGAAAAGATTAGGAATCAGTTTTTTCAGCTTAGAAGTCGAACCAGGAGGGACAATGGATTCCACGAGGAAAGGGAGATCTGAGTGGACATCATGTAATTCTTGGGGGTAGTACACATCCACTTCGAGTACATACCCACATGAGCTATCATCTGCATTATATCTAATTCGCTAATTTCCTGATTAGTTAACCACTTGAAATCGGAAGTGGGTAGCGGTTGTGACATACTATGCCCATATAAGTTAGTCGCATCTAAATACACTATGAATGATGAAGGCTCGCTTGGATTGAAATTTGGAAGGAACTGATTGTTTGCTACATGGCTTTTTAAGCTACATTGGCTCATCCCTCCCTCTTATGCCTTTTTTGAAGAAATTTATCATGTCAATGTCGGTCAACAACTCAAATTCGATTTTCGTATACCTCAACATAGCATCCCACGATAAACCGGGTGCTGTATAATATTGGCACGGATCTAACTTATACGTTTTTAAACAAACCTCCCGAAAGTTCTCGAACACATCGCATAATAAAAGAACATCCGATTTCAAATAAGCGTCTGAATAATCCCCTAGCGATTTACATTCGAATAATTTCCACACGTGCTCAGCTCTTCGATAATCCTCATCTGAAATGTGCCTACTGGATAAATTATCGTAAAAATCATTTTTAGTCGGTAAATTTTGATTGTCGAGTTTATCTATGGAGGTTACGAAGCTATATATGAAAACACCTTTCTGTGTCATATATTCGAATTTTTCGCGATCTGAAAAATATCTAGCCGTTTCGACAAACCGATCTGTATTCAAATTCCCGACTAATGATTGAAGAGGTTGTGCGAGAAATTTGTAACTATCTAAGAATCGGAGTTTTAGAAAGATATTATGATTTTGACCATTTTTCCCCAAATATTCACCAACTAAAATGTGCTTAGTAAATGAAATATATTTTTCCTCAGTTTGTGCGACACAATCAACTTTCTCTTCGCGATCAAATAATTGCTGTATGGAGAGATGGCTATCATAGCCGCTCATATTGTGAAAGAAAATTGGTATGAAATTCGGGATTTTGTAATTCAAATTGCATGCTGAATGTGCTGCCCCGAATCGTCTTTTACCCGGCAAATGACAGTGATCTCTCACTTTTACATCACCTAACCGGAATGGTTTCTCGCAAATGCCACACTCGGTAGCATTAGCAAAATCGGCTTCTTCTACTTTCGTTAATTTTCTCATTGGAACTACGTTCTTCAGATATAAGTCATATATGTTTTTCGAATCATTAACCATACTAGATACAAATTTTTTCGCCGCATCTTTTTCGCGGAATGTAACAAATTTCGTGATGGAATTGTCGTAGGAGCATTTGATGAGGTATGCGAATGAGTATGGAGTATAGGATTTTTTCGGGTCCGGCTCACTAGTGTGTATCGGCTTCAAAACTGATTCGAAATCTGCATATATAACAAAAGGTACCATCATTTGTTTCTCAAAATTCTCAAATTTCAAAATATTTTCAGGTACTGAATTTCCAAATTTATCTACTTTGACTGCTGTAGTTGGTGTTGTCGTAAATGTGTGATTACAGTCGCTCAATTGATGGCGTAATAGCTTAGCCTCATCCGAAAAATGTATCAAACACTCATCGCAGAAAAATTTCTCATGTCCGTTCGAGGACATTTGGGTGGACACCAATCTAGATAAATGTTTTATCCAACAATAGTGGCTCTCACCCGAATCATTCGTTATAAGGAGCAAGTTCACATGTTTACTCATTCTTTTCTTCGAATAATAGAGCGGGCCGACAACGTGGTATTCAACTTGTTGATTTTCTATTACGCTTTCTAACCCATAAACGTTGATGGAGCAATCATTGAGTATTTCAAATTTTGGAATTTTACTTACTTTCATAGGAAACTCTATACCACTCAAATTCAAAACTGTAGAGAAGTGCGAGTATGAAGATATCTCACAAAGTTTGGCCCTTGCTGGATATAGGGCGGACGTCACGGCCCAAGCAAAACAGCATTCATCCTGATTCACCACATTCACTACCGCCCTCTTTTATTGTCTATGAAACTAGGTAGCAAGATGTAGGAACACCCACGCAGCGGACTATATTTATTGATGTTTATTTCGGGAAATAGTATTTTCTCTAGAGCCCAACCTGTAACAATGGAAAAGTTATTGTTTTATTTATTCAAAGAATTGAGTTATATAAGTGTGATAATGCAGATATTCAAATCATTCTCAACTCACCAGAATCGCGTTCCTCAAATCCAGTTGTTTGGTTCACGATGATGTCTTTGAATGTATCGATGATGGCATCCAAATCAAGGGATGAATCTACGATGTGATTCGGTGTCGCAATGGATTTGATGTCGTGAAGATCCTGAGATTGTAGAATAAATCTACCGAATACTTCCATATTAACCTTGATGGTGTGGTGAATCGACAGCATATTCCCCAATAGGGATGATAAAGTCGCCTTATCTTCGGTAAAGAACGTGTTATAATCCAAGACATCCGTTCTACATTCCAATCTATAACTGATAATGCGACACTTGAATGCGTTTTCGATAATATATACACCATCTCTATAATTAACGCAAGCGTTCGAACGATGTTCCAAAGTCCTTTTGTGGACAGCCATTTTATCGATTGGAACGGTTTTATTGCAAACGGTACACGCTTGCATGTTGCCAGACGTTGATGCTTGATGAATAGTATTACCCAACCGCGGCCTCTTCGACATTGGTGGATCGAGATTTTCCACACACGACTTTTTTTGGTGGCGGCGTAAATTGTCACTGCGGGTGAAAGATTGGCCACAAACGCAGGTCAACATGTTTATCACTCGCGAAAAGAAACGATAGAGTTGAACGATCGATGATGTCAGGAAGACTACAGTCTGGACATGCAGAAATTGGATTAATAGAAGAGGGGAGTCGTGGCGTAGCCTCACCCCACTACACCATCAAACAGCCTTGGAAAGAAGAACACATGCGCACGAGAGTGGATACACTTAACCCAAGGCCACCACGACAATTGTCCGAGATGAAACCATCGTCTCCCTCCCAAGGTCACTCCCAAGATCACTCCCAAGGTCACTCCCAAGGTCGCTCCGAATGTCACTCCTTCAAGGCCACCCCCAAGGTAACTTCCCCCAAGGTCACTCATCCCAAGGTCACACTCCTCTGGCCTTGGGGGGAGATTTGGTATTGGCTAAAGCCTTCTACTGATTATCAATTTTTGGACCTTTTGTAGATACTTGACGAGTATAGCACTTTGCAGCCGAAAGGGATCTGCGATTTAATAATAAAATTTTACACGCGACCGCCCTTCCCCTCTGAATTGTTTTTATGGACTGCGTGTTGCCGGCGATGTTTTTTTTGCAGAATTTGTCTCAAGTGACTTAGCAAAGACCATACCATCGACCGTGACACTATACAAAAAAAAAGTCATACACAAAAACAGATACAAAACGACATAGTATAAAGGGTCTACAGAACGTCGATTATCAGAAGTCAAAGCGCGTTCGAACATGCAAACAAAACATGGTGGTTCCTAAGTAGATGTAAATATCTGAGTGGGCGATTCTTGGGTCCATTTCAAGGAGAAAATTGCATATAAACGTATAATCTACATGTCTTTACTTTCGAGATACAGTTTGGTAAAGTTCTCAGAAATAAATATATTTTTTTATCAATATCTGTGATAGCACTTTAGATATTCTAATGAAATTTGGCATACATGAACTATGTATCAGGACGCATCAGTTAGTGTACCACATCATGTGGTACACGTAACTGATGCTTCTTGATACATACCTAGTACATTAGTTTAGTTAGAATTTCCAAAATGGTATTACAGATATCGATACAAAACTATTTATTCTTGAGAACTTTACCACCCTGTATCTCGAAAGTTAAGATGTTTAGGTCATATGTTCATATGAAATCTTCTTGTTCAAATGAGCCCAAGAATCGTAAGAAGGTAAGAGAAGATAAAACAGGTGATATCGCAGAATCAAGTAGCGAACTTGATGCATAAGCTACAGCTACATTTCCTACACAAAGTTTTGCGTTTTCCGGTATTATTTCTGTGAAACAAAATTGGGTCGATGCTTTGTCTAAATCAGTGCCATTGAAAAAATTATCATCCTTCAACTGTTCAAATGTATTCATCCAATATTGAGAATTATGTTTACGCAGGATACTCCACCAAGACTCAATACGTTGGTTGTGAGGACTAGTTCCATACATATGAGCAAGTAAGATGTTAGTGTTTGGTATTTTCTCCCTGAAAAATATCTGCATTTGTTCAATATGCCTATTCTCTGTTCCCATGTCACTTCTTAGAGTCTGTGGACAGCCACCAAGGGTCTCCACTTATTCTATGTAATAACCAGCAATTATACGAGGATTATTGTTACTCTTAGCAGCCCCCAACCACATAATTCGTCTAGAGAATCCATCTACACATCCATTAATTGCAATGCCATATGGTTTTAATTTGTCATAAGAATCAACATGCCACATATAATTTGGTCCCTTATTATATGCCCTTCGTCTCAGCCTATTTCTGGAACGCAGTTCAACTCCTTCTGGGTCTTTTTCCTTCAGGAGACGCCTCACAGTGTTCATTTTGACTACCAAACCATTTTGTAAACATTTCAGGTGCATCCATCGATATTCATGCAGACTACCTGAACCAAGTATTTGTTGGTCAATGAAGTCTGATATAATTGTTATATCCTGAACAAATAGGCACTCGCTCCTACGAGTTTCAATTTCACGATTGGTCACCTCTACTAGATAATCATGGGTATAATAAAGTTCTGGAACATTGAACAATACATTTGGTTTTCCAAGTGGAGCTCTATTATTTCGTGAATTCGAGATTCTATGATTATTCCATTCATGAATGATTTCATCCAGTTCTCCCTGTAAAGAAAAAACAGATTACCATCAGAGTTAATTCCTTCAAATTAAATAGTCTTTGAATTTATAGTGTCCAGAGAATATATGGAATAAACAAATAATTTCCTAAATCAAACATATTTTCAAGATGACCTGGAATATTTTCAAGTCAATTTTCTAGATCCCATAGGCTTCTATCATTCTACATGATTCACGTTGAACGGATAAGTTCATTTACAATTTTGTAAACACCTTGGGATGTCATAGACATGTCATTGTGGACATGCAACACATTGAATAGCCACCATGCTCATCATAACCATCCCTCTTGAATCCTATGTCGAAAATAGATCAATCTCTTCCTCATGGTGAAGGATGCAAATAAAAAAGTATACAACGATTACAAGGTGCATTTCTTGGAATTGAACCTCTTGACTATTCAATTTTTGAAGAAAGACATGCTGTTTCACTACTAACCAAACCAATTTTGACATATGTTTTGACTTTAATTTTTCATATCCAGTGGACTTCTAAAATATATACCTATGTCATGAAAATTTTATAAGGAAAAGAAAAACTATTTGCCCTTACCCTCAAATTATTTTCAACAAAATATTCACAAGTATTTTTCATTTCTAAAAGTGTTTTCATACACATAAAGCTAACCATTTTATTCACGTTTATAATCACATTCAAAATGTACATTTCAATTCTCTGTCAATATAAAATTATTATCATTATTATCTATTTCAATTTTCAATGATATGAGAAAACATCTGAAATCACGCAACTACAAAATAACTGTAATTAGGTAGGTAAGTATTAATGGTATTATACACACTTACTTGTATAATTTCCATGAAACACAATTGGATCAATGCTTTGTCTAAATCAGTGCCATTGCAAAAATTATCATCCTTCAACTGTTCAAATGTATTCATCCAATATTGAGAATTATGTTTACGCAGGATACTCCACCAAGACTCAATACGTTGGTTGTGAGGACTAGTTCCATACAAATGGGCAGGTAAGATGTTAGTGTTTGGTATTTTCTCCCTGCATTTGTTCAATATGCCTATTCTTGTTGAAATATATTTAAAATTAATTCATATGTAGTAGGCATACAGTGCCATCTCTTATTGTTTAGGTCATGCCACATTAAGCACTTGTGTGTTGATTCAATTAGAACTAGAGAACACTGTAAGATGTTGTACAGTTAATGTATAGAGTAATGTATAGATGTCACTATTTCGGGTTTTCGTTAGTCAATTACACGTTCTAAAACACTGAGCAAAAGTTTTGTTTTTACTTCGATTTCCACCCAGTTTTCCTCATCAAAAAGCCTGCTTTCCAACAATTCTCTGTTCCCATGTCTCTTCTTAGAGTCTGTGGACTGCCACCAAGGGTCTCCACTGATTCTATGTAATAACCAGCAATTATACGAGGATTATTGTTACTCTTAGCAGCCCTCAACCACATAATTCGTCTAGAGAATCCATCTACACATCCATTAATTGCAATGCCATATGGTTTTAATTTGTCATAAGAATCAACATGCCACATATAATTTGGTAATTTATTATGATATGCCCTTCGTCTCAGCCTATTTCTCGAACGCAGTTCAACTCCTTCTGGGTCTTTTTTCTTCAGGAGACGCCTCACAGTGTTCATTTTGACTACCGAACCATTTTGTAAACATTCCAGGTGCATCCATCGATATCCATGCAGACTACCTGAACCAAGTATTTGTTGGTCAATGAAGTCTGATATAATTCTTAGGTCTGTGTAATTTTTCCTTCGATACAAATTAAGTTGTTTCAAGTACCTTTTCAACTGCCTTTCACTGATCAGAATGTCATGTCGTAACATCAAAAATGCTTTTATTTCGGAAAGATTGAATCCTACCTGAAAGTATCGTTTGATTAACTGCTTCACTTCAACCATGATATCAATTTATAAAAGATATCATGCATAATTGAGTAACGTTGTCGAAAGTTCAGAACTTCAGAACATGACAACCTAATATGTAGAAAGGTATTTCATATCATCTTTCATCTATGGTCATTTTACACACCAACCAGTACACACCAAAGAGGGGAGGGTTCTCTTTCTCTATGAAAGTGGGATTGTTAAAATCACAAATCCACAGCCCTTGTCCTTATTGGTCACATCTTGATCACGTGATCTGGCGCAAACACAGTCACTATTCTTGACTGCACGAACAATAAAATATACTTGGCAACACAGCAGCCGGAAAAAATATCTCTATGATTTTTATAAGTGGCTCTGAAGGGACATGTGAGATATTTTTTTAAAATTATTTTACATTTTATATTAGCAGCCCCGAAGGGACATTAAATGTGGGAGATATTTAAAAAAAATATCTCACCATGTCCCTTCAGAGCTTTCGTACTAAAGTATGGAGTTCGCTAGGCGGTTTTATCATTTGGGTGGTAGTTTTAGTCAACAGAATACTCACTTCACTTTCTCGAAACTGAAGAATTGTCACAGAATTGTCTGTTCCAAATTTCTTTTGCATCACCCATGCATTCACCACCATTGTACCAAATATAATTTCCAATGCGACTTTCTTATACAATTTTATTGTTTTACGTGAAGTACTATAATAAGAAGCAATTTTGTCCGACATAACCACACCTTTTGTTGTTTGATTATAGCTCAATATTACGTCTGGTTTCTTCATTGGTTCTCAATCCCTATAAGTTTCTTCCTGTCTCGATAATTTCGCATTTATGATTCTTGCAAGTGCAATGGCTTTTTGTCGACTCACTTCTTTATTTTTACTCCCTTTTTATTTACTAATGAGAAAATACCACCCCGCTTCAATTTTTCTCTTTGAAATCCATTGGGATCCCTCTTCTATTGATCCACAGAGTTCCGCAGATAAATGTCTCTTCTGTTAACAACTCTTCTGCAAGAGGTATTGTCGCAACTCAGATGTTCGACCTCCTACGGATCGCAACTTGGCTACTCGCTTGGCTTAATGAGAGGATTTTGATCATTTCACCATCCAACCACATTCACCCCCAAATAAAGAGACCGGACAGTTTTCATAGAAAAATAACATTTATTTACTGAATGAAAAGTTTTATGAATGGATGCTGCCACATGGCAGGTTAACAAAAGGAAAAAAAAGATCAACGCAAAACAACATTGGAAAAAAACAGCACTTACATTATTACGTCTAGCAGGGGGTTGACCAGCAGGCTTGAAGTTGGGAAGACAGCGAACATTTTGATTTTCACTAGAATGACTTGTGTCAATAATGAATAATGAATAATGAATAATGAATAATGAATAATGAATAATGAATAATGAATAATGAATAATGAATAATGAATAATGAATAATGAATAATGAATAATGAATAATGAATAATGAATAATGAATAATGAATAATGAATAATGAATAATGAATAATGAATAATGAATAATGAATAATGAATAATGAATAATGAATAATGAATAATGAATAATGAATAATGAATAATGAATAATGAATAATGAATAATGAATAATGAATAATGAATAATGAATAATGAATAATGAATAATGAATAATGAATAATGAATAATGAATAATGAATAATGAATAATGAATAATGAATAATGAATAATGAATAATGAATAATGAATAATGAATAATGAATAATGAATAATGAATAATGAATAATGAATAATGAATAATGAATAATGAATAATGAATAATGAATAATGAATAATGAATAATGAATAATGAATAATGAATAATGAATAATGAATAATGAATAATGAATAATGAATAATGAATAATGAATAATGAATAATGAATAATGAATAATGAATAATGAATAATGAATAATGAATGATGAATGATGAATGATGAATGATGAATGATGAATGATGAATGATGAATGATGAATAATGAATAATGAATAATGAATGATTGCCTCATCGATTCGGGTACTATTTATATTCGGAATCGATGCTAGGTTCGCTATTTTCCACACGGGGAACGGTCGATAGCTTTTCGATACCGCTTACCAAGGTATTATCGCCGCGGTAAGCGATTTCTTTGCAAATTATAAAGGAAATGATGTCTATGAACTCCGCTGGCCTGATCGAACTGCAATGTACTGAATGTTTTAATTTGGAAAAGTTAATTAATGATAGAAGATCTTGAAACGAACGAGAGTTTGGGTGGTGTTAATTCCTAGGCATTTATACTTCTTGACACAGCTCCCCCCTTCAAGAAAACTGGCCCCCAGTTTTTCCCAAGTACCTTTCTACTTTGAAATACTTACAACTACTTACTAACAATGGTGTAAAAAAAATGATGAGAAAAAATGTGAAAATAGATCCTAAATATAAATATGGTAACAAAACAAAATATAATAAAATGATGCAAGTATTGCTTATTTAAATGAACAGCATGTGAAGAAACAATACTCCTTTCATGAATGTGAAAGTCAATGAAATCGAGAAAAAAAAAAAAAAAGTACAAAAACCTTGTCGAACTGTCCAATGTCTATTGATAATGTCTTCTTATTTTTCACCGCGCATGTGAGAGTTTCGAAGAGAACCACACTAAATATTACTTGGTCCGGCACTGCAGTTTAATTGTTTGTTGACACTGAACTCTGTCCTTCCAGTCATCTGAGGTTGCAGTTCCATTTTCCATATGTTCGTAATGTAGGTCACCGATGTTCTGTTTTTCTTGTAACTTGATACATCCATAACATCGATATCATTACATGGTAGGATTGATGCACGAAAGATCTGTGAGATGGACTGATGGCGTCCAATCTCGCCTGGGAGGGGACACTAGCTCTCTGATGAGACGTTTTCTGTGGCAGTGTACGGTTCAGCTTATAGACTGCAATTGCTGCGTTCTTTGGATGCTGCGCTCTATCGTCTCTGGAGAAAAATCGAGAAGAGATTTAGGAGAGTATCTCTGTCTCTTTATATGCAGATAACGGGAATTGCTGAATAAGTAGTTTGTCGTCCATTGCTACTAGTGCTTCGTTTTCGGAATGATTTCGGTAGTTTGGTACTATCAACCTACTTATAATCGGCGTGATTTTCGTATAGTGAGTAGTAGTGCGAACTTAATTGCTTGGGAATATAGACATTACTTTGGTTACTGTATTGACTTCCTGTAGTCGGGGCTCTGGTGCATGCATCCTATAGTTGCGATATATCGACTCGGCTTATTCATTCCGTGATAACTGCATTTTCCAATTTTCCAGGGCTCTCTACCATTCGAATTTCATCTACTAGCTGATGACTCCAGGAACGATGGAACTTCTCATGGACCAAAACACCTTTGACGTGGTATATGGGCCTATGACTGTTTGTGGTTCAGGTCGACTTCTTGGGCTGCATCTGAGTGGTGCCATCAAGTGTGGTTCTTCGTTTCACATGTAACAAGAGAGAAAAAATATCGGCAGTAAGTTCATACAAAAGAATACATATAAAACTACCTAACTAGTTATAAAATAATTGAATATTGGTGATATAACTTTATCGATTAGCGATCTCTAAAAACAAAACTACCTAAGTTAGTTCATGAAAAAGATGTACCTATATACTGCTATCACTTTTCCAAGAATCTCTTTTCTACTATAGATATATGGAATTGTTTGTTTTATCTTAAATTTCTCCTTGAATTGTAGGAAATTGATTCTTCCTCGATTTGAAATAGGAATGACACACCCGTATCCTTGATTTTCATTTCAATGTTTCATTTATTCAATTAATTCTCATTCCTATGTTATCTCAATGTTACCAATTTTTTGTTTTCTAATATTATAAATGGTTTGTCACCGAAACTACACTCCTGGCTAATACCTACGACGAGCATTGACTTACATATGATGAATATCTAGGTATTTTGTGGAAACTTCATCTCGTACATCCTGAATATCATTAACCTTGTATCTGCCATTATTTCCTCTAATCTGACAATTTACTTTGTCCCTATTCCTCTTCATATCGCGAGAAAAACATATTATTTCATACATCTATCGTCTCACTTTGAAACGAATACATCAATTTGCACTTTCGAGTGCCTTCACGTCCTTATATCTCTCTCTCTCTTCACGCATCACATTTACTACGTGACAATAACAAAATAACATCTTTACATTTATTCATACGCCATGGCTTGACAGCTGATTTGCAACTATTGTTGTTATTCATCTTCGAGGCGTCCCTCTTATCTTGCATTATCATCTGTCATAAGCGTATCATATTTCAACATAATTCTCCATAATAAATCTTACTTCATCAGATACAACTTTCTGTTATGTTCTAGTAATTCGCATATTCAGTATTTTTCCCGAGATTCTATTTCCAAGTACATATACATATTTAATCACTTACATAAAAAATTGAGATCTTGTCTTGGACATAACAAGACATATACATAAAACAAACTATATTGACAAAAAGTATAGGTACGCATACAGGAATAGTTAGGTGGTTGTGTGGGTGTGTCATGTCCATATTCGCGATATGTTCAATATTTGGGGAGTGATACTCCACTATTCTTTATACTTGAAACGTTTGAACATATTGAATTGAAATGTTTTATTTCCAAATTTACTCATAGCTGCTTGCTTTTTTTTTCCAGTAGGACTCAGTATTTTTAATTATGACTATATATATTATTTTTTTTTATTCAAATTATTCAGTAAATTAATCTTGAAAGATAATATTTCTATCTCTTAAAACTTAGTTGCTCTTGCGTCAGAGTCATCATATCCATGCAAAGTGCATGACATGCTTCTTCCTTCAGTCAATGATAGGGGGTTTTCATCCAGCTCTAGAACATACTTATTTCTTTGAATTCTTGTTCTTTCTGCTGGTACAGGGGTTTCTGTATTTGTTTCAGGTTTTCTGCAGAAAAATGAGAACTTGGCACTCAGTCTGTAGCAGAGGTATAAGAAGAAGAGTAGGAAGGCCGTACACAGGAGGGAGAATAAGACGTCGTGGTGAGTTTTACTCTCACCGCCGGCTTGTACCTGTGCTGCCATTGGAAGAAGTGCCAGGTTTGGGTGATTTCGGAAAAGGATATACACCACACAAATTGACAAGATTGAATTCCAAATAATGAAGATGGAATCACCATGCATACCGTAAGTATCGGAGTAGGACCAAGTAGTTTTATCTTCAATCATCTCTAGAATTTCATGCAAGTTTTCTTGAGATGATGTTAAATTCACATGGGGAATATTCAATGTCCACTTAGTGTTCAGACATTCTGTGATGTTACTGAAGGTTGGCACATTCGATTTTGAATTTGGATTAATTATGAAGGATTTCAGGTTTGACCATGCAGCAGGGATTATGTGGGAAATAGTGGTTGTGTGAGGGGAATCTTGATAACATGGATATCTTTTGGGGATTATTACCTCATCATCCATAGACAATTTACAGTTACAAGGGATAGTTACTTTTATTGCACCAGGGGTATCATAAGCTACTTCAGGGAATTTGGTGAATGAGTTAGGGCATTGGATATTTGTGGGTTTTTTAGGGTGGGTTATTATGTAGGTTTCATCTTCGATTTCAGAAATAACGGTTGTTGAAGATTTGTGGCAACTCAATGGACAGTGGTGATTAATGTCTTCTACTGTCGCTCCTGTAA